TCACTCACATTTTGGCAGCTAGCAAAGTTGCAATTTCCAGTACTTGACCTAATTATCCAATTTCTATTACTTTGGTAATCATAGGCTTCTTTCATTAGTTCTGATTTGTGCATGTCTTTCTGTAGCTAAATTCTGTTTTAAGTCTTCAGCATATAATGTAGATGTTAAAAGGTTGGTCCAATTTCTGCTTAATTCTTTTGTTTCACTGCCTAAATTTAAGGCCTATATGAAATTTTTATTTTTTCATATTGAAGAATTATATCTTTCCTCAGAAAGGTTTAATTTCTTTGTCATTCTGTTTTACATTTCGTGTTAGATAAAATGTAACTTAGTTGGAGCAAAGAATTTTAAATGTTGATGTTGAAAGAAATAATAATATTTTAATGTCTTTAACATTCAAATGCATCCCTTGGAAACTATCCCATATCTTGCAGTGCCTCATACTACAGATGTTTCCAGGAAACTATTCTAAACTTCTGTCTTTCTGGTTTAAAAAAAAATACAACAGTGAGAATTGGCAGTGCTTACTTATGTTCCTGGAAGTTCAGATTGTAGTTCCAAAATTTCTCAGAAAAATAAGATGACTAACTGCATGCACTTCTATTCTTACGCAATCAGGAGTCACAGCAGTAATCTGGCACAGTCACTTAAACACTTTATTATGTAGTGATATAGTCACTGGTATTTATTCCAATAGAACAATTAATCACGAAGAAACTGATAGAAACCTATGGAAATAATCCACTTGAATTGATCAAAATTGACTTTCTGCTGTCATTCTAATTATATAAATAACAAAATAAATGCACTGGATTCCCTCTTTTCTTAATGTTAGACAAAATACATGTACCTGTGAATAGTTAAAATATCTTGTATAGATAGGAAATGCTTATTTAAAAATAAACGTGATATTTAAAAAGTTACTGCTTTTAAGACAAAAAGACCAACTCTTCACAAATGTTTACATTCCCATTCTATAACACATGCTGCAGAAATTGTAAGCTTTATGTATATACACTATAATGACCATTTTGTCAGGAGAACCCACTACTTACATTGTATCACTCTGCAGCAACACTATCAATAGTCCTTGAGGTACAACAGGCCTTTTAATAACTGTTCAAAGTTATATCCCCCCCCCCACTCCTTAAAGCTACATATGGTTTCAAAGTTACAATGCTGCAGTGCTCCCATGATCATTTGCCCTGACAACCTACCACAGAGGCTCTGCAACACACACACCCACTCACCCACCTATTCCCCCCCTTCCTCTTCTTGCCCTGCTAGATCCCCAGAGGCACTGGGATTGCTCTGCCATTCTATCAGCTTCTACACATTCCTCCGCATCACCAGATACCTGTTGTGGCGGAGCTGGCAGCAGATTCGGACAGTGAGGAGGTTGGTGAATATGGGCCAGTCCTGGAGTCTAGGGAAGGCACTGATGAGTGTTCTGCATCGGAGTCAGAGATGGGGCCAGGCCCATCTGACAATTATCAGCTGATATCGGAGTCAGACATCAGTGAGGCAGATGAACAGCTTGAGCCTTTTCCCAGTGTGCGCATGCACAGAGTTGCCAGATGAAGGGAACAGCTAAGGGACATGGGTCGACTTGAGAGTAAGGCCACAGGTAAATGGCCCCTCCCATAGAGAATAGAAGAGGAGTGAAAGGGGAGGGATATTTTCAGGAGACAAGTAGTTCATTCCTGCGTTCTTGCCAAGTATTGTGGTGTCTGAAAGATATCGGCCTGGCTACTCTCCAAGCCTAATAAAGGTTGGTCATTGTGAACTATCTTGAAAGACAGTGGGAGATGAAAGACTTTGTTGAAGAGGGATTCACTGTAAATTAAATAAAAGGGATTTATTGGGACGAGGACTCGGCTTCATGCTGCTGGGGAAGCCTAGGTCAGTTACTCTTCAAAGATATCCAGAGCTCAAGAAGTTGGGGTAGGAGGGCCACACTGAGTTGGACTGTTGCTGGGCCACATGGCACAGTCGAAAAGCAGTCTTCTGATTTGCTTTCCTCACTATGCTTTTCTCCTCAGAACCAGAACCACTCACTCTACACTGGTGTGCTGGCTCTGGGGGAGCAAAGAATTTCAGGGAAAGCAAAACCACAGGAATTCTCCTCCTCGATTGTGCTACATGTCTCAACTATAGAGCAGCCTCCCCTACCTTGACTTCCCAAGCTCTGGATATCTTTGAAATGTAAGCGTGCAATTGTGACAAGGTGGGGAGTGATGAAACCCAGAGAACTATAAAGAATTCCCTACTTTGAGGTTGATTTTATCAAAAGCCTTATTGAAATCCAACCACATTATATCCTCAGCATTTCACTGATCCAGTAATATAGTTAGTTTGTTAAAAAATAAGACTTGTCTGGCATGGTCTGGTTTTGACAAAGCCATGTTAGCTTCCAGTTATAACTTTGCTTGCCTCTAGGATGGTGTTCACAGTTTAGTTGTTTGATTGTCTTTTTCAGGATCTTCTCAGGTATTGATGTCAGGCTGATTGTTCTGTAGTTTCTTTGGGTCCATTTCTTTCCTTCTTTGAAGATGGAAACTATATCATCCCTTTTCCAATCATCTGATGCTTTACGATCTTTGAAAGATGTGGTTCACTGGTTCTGAGATAATGCCTGACAGCTTCTTCAGAACTCTGGGATATAGTCCCACCCGGATCTGGGAATTTGAATTCGTCTAGAGTAGTTGGGTGTTCTCTTATCATTTTCTTGCCTATTTGATTTGTATTTGTAATCTGTTCTTTATGATACTGTTTCTAATAGGTTGGGCTATTTTTTCCTCTTGTTTAAAGATAAATGCAAAAGCAGTTCCACTTCTCCCTGCTGCTTGTCACCTCCTTGCCATCTTCTCCCATTAGTGAACAGTTATGGCCATTAGTATTTTACCAGTTAAGGATAATGCTGTCTGCATTTCTGATCCTTTCCAGTATGTGTGCTGCACTGATATCCAGGCTATTTATAATAATGCACTATATGCAACATTGCCTTTAAAGATAGTTTGGGAACCTCAGCTACTGCAGACGAGGCTGTCAGAGTTTGGTCATGTGATATCTATGTTGGTTTCTAGTTATTTCTGAATCCAATTTTTAAGTAGTTTTGGGAAAAGTGTTTTCACCCACATCAGCCTGCTTATTACCAGCCTGCTGATAGCGGTGGAAAGCTAAACAGTTCTTCAATTCTGGCACCCTTTTACAGGCCTTCAGGGAAGATCTTAATTCTTCTTAACTTTCTTTTCAATAAGCAATGTCTGTTAAGTTGGTTTAGTATCAGCACTTATTTATACACTATATGTCAGTGATAGCAAACCTTTTTTGGCTCAAAAGCGGGGAGAGGCAGGGGGGTTGTGTGCCACACCCATAATGCAATGTGTGACCCCCAGTGCACATGCATGCATGACCAGCGTGACCCCCATTTTTAACATGCTTTTTTCACCCCCCTAGCTCCAGAGGATTTATAGGAGCCTGGGGAACACGAAAACACCCTTTCCCACCTCCCCCTGGAGGCCCTCCGGGGGCTTCAGGAGCTTCCCTGAAACCTCCGGAGTGCAAAAAACCAGTCCTATGGGCAAACTGGAAGTTTGGGAACAGACTTCCAGTTTGCTCATAGAGCTGGTTTTAGCCCTCCGGAGCCTTCAGGGGCCTTCCAGAGGCTTTCCTGAAAGCTCTGGAGGGCAAAAAAATGACCCTATGAACAAACCAGAAGTTACCGTATTTTCACCCATATAACCCGCCCACGCAAATAACCCGCCCACGCATATAACCCGCGGGTTTTCCGGATCGTGTAAAATATCTTCCGTATACCCCGCCCACGCATATAACCCACGACGAGTAAGAGAGAAGGGAAACAGCTGAGATGGGGGGGAAGAAACGGAGAAACAAGCCTGCGCAAGCTGGGGAAGAGGAAAGGAACGGAGGAGAAGGAAACAGCTGAGATCGGGGTGGGGGAAGAAACGGAGAAACAAGCCTGCGCAAGCCTCCGATCGTGTAAAATATCTTCCGTATACCCCGCCCACGCATATAACCCGCAGGGGGGCGCTGTGCATGTAAAAACCGCATATAACCCGCGGGTTATATGGGTGAAAATACGGTACTTCCGGTTTGTCTGTAGGGTTGTTTTTAGACCTCCAGAGGGTGCCGGAGGTTGTTTTTGGTCAAGGCCAACCATTTCGCATACCAACCTGATGAGGCTGTTTGAAGATGCACCCCACATGACACCTTAGGGAGTTGCAGATTGGACACTGGGTTGGGGAATGGGGGGGAGGGTGCTGGGTAAACGTTTGATATGTATATGTTCCCGTCTTGCTGGCTCAAATCTTACTTTCCTTTTTGCTGTTTTCACATCATAGCTAGTAAAAGTACTTTATCTCTATTAAAATGGAGTTGAGGTTTTTCATTCTTGGATATTGAAGGAGGCATGACTGACACCAGGCTCCTATAAAGCCTCTGTAACCTGGTGAGGCCGAAAAATGGCCTCGAAAAAAAGGCATGCGCGCTGGCCAGCTGACAGGGCAATGCCTCACAGGTGTGTGGCACATCTGCCATAGGTGTGTGGCACACCAACAGGCATGTGACACACGTGCCATAGGTTCCCATCCCGACTACATGTAATATAGTTGTGTTTTCTATTTGTTGAAAGCCGCCAGGGATTAACTTTATATTTATCATTAGAACATATAGCTTTTAAATAATATTTTAAAATATTTATAAAATGAAATGGACCATTTCATTGGGCACATATATAGAACACAGAGTGCTCATTTTTATGGAGTATTGCTTTTGAATTTGCTTATAAATGATCTGGTGTCAGTAATGAGGAAATTTTACTGCTGATATTTTACTGATATATATCTTGAACTAATTGCTTTGTAAAAAATCGAGAAATCTTATATAATAAAAATTCACTTTCAACTTTTGAATACTGTGATAACCGTGAATGGCAATGATCAGTAATATTTTTCTTCTTTTTTGATGTTTATTTCTAGGACCCTGTTGATCAGACTTCGGCACATACAGGTCGAGATCTAGTGGAACCTGGATACCAAAAACAATCAAGTCACATTTCATTAAATCACCAAGGAGGTAAGGGAAATAAGATACAGACATTTTTATTAGGCATATAAGGAAAAGAAAAAAACAGTAACATAACAACAGCATACAATTTTAAACATTATAACATTTTCCTGTTGGCAAACCAGAAGGGTTCAAAATACTTTGTAGTTGAAATGTCCTGTTTTTGTAGTTCAGAACAGTTGCTCTGTCTTTATTCAAAAGGTTTGAAGTTGAACACTCCAGGTTTAAGCTTGAAACTTTTCTGGCCATGTTCAGAACAAATCAATATCAAGTCTGAATTTGTAACATTTCATTCTGTATCCTTCTAGGGCTGACTGGGTTTATCCATTTCTTTGTCTATATGTTAAAAGAAAATATGCACGAAGAGATGTTAAAACTCCCAAAGTGCTATATGGTTCAAATAAATGAGATGAAATGGAATGGAATTGAAGTAATTTCATAAAATACAACAGAATAGATTGTCACATAGTGGTAGCTGACTATGTCAATAGGACAATGTGATAATTATAGTATTTTTATTCTCCTTGTTGAAATTTTGATTATCTTTAGCAGAAAATAATTCTCTTCCCAAATATGTCAAATCAATTATTAGTTCTCTAATAATCTCTATACCTCTTCCACAATCCATTTAGAAAGCTTCAGTATTTGAAGCCTCCCTGGATCCCTGGTTATTATTATCATCACAGCAGTCATCATTTCCTTCCTTTGGCTGATGTTTTTGGATTCCAACTGGGAATAGCCATTTGTTGCAAAGCAATAAGCTAATAGCTGAACAGCATCAAAAGGAAAGGCAGGTCTCATGATTTCCCCAGTTAATGGTTTATACCATTTGTCCCAGTTTGCCACGAATAGATTACCAAGCAGGAAAAGAAAGAATTAAGAAAACTTCTGAATTGTTTTTACATGATTAAAGTTTCTCTTCAACCTTTGGCAAAGGTAGTAGAGATGTAACTAGCTTTCAAAATTTTAGAATGTATTCTACAAATCAGTATATGTGGGCATTAAAAGGATGGCTGTTCCTTAGGTATCGGAACTAGTTGACTGCCTGTAGCCTATATTCTTTTAGCCCTAGTTTGGAAAACCAACAAATCTCTCCCCCTCCCTCTCTCTGTCTCTCTGTCTCTGTCTCTGTCTGTCTGTCTGTCTGTCTTTCTCTCCCATCTCCCTCCCCCGTCTCTCTTTCTTCCATCTCCCTCCCTCCCTTCCCCCCTCCTTCTCTCTCTTCATCTGTTTTTTAAATATATTATTATTTTTAAATGTAATTTAACTAAAAGTTTTTAAATAGAAATATATATGTAAATATGGTTTATCTGTATGTGTTTATAATGGCTGATTTATCCAAGTGCCAAACTTCCACGATTTCTGCAGTGGTTTTGGAAAACAATATCCTAATGAAAGAACTACCAAAGAGAAACCCATACCAACTCTAGGAGGGCCAAGAAGGGCCAGCCTTATGTTACCTAGTCAGATAATGCATTGTTTGTAAGCAAGCAAGATTAGAGAGCATTAAGCAGCCCAGTTCAACCCTGAGCTATATAGATTCTCTTTCATTGTTTTTTCCAACTGTTGTCCATCAAATATATTAAAAAATCCTCTGGATTCAACAGTATATTAATCTTTTAAATTCATCAGAATCAATGCATGAATTTGGACTCAAAATTTTCTAGGAAAATGGAAACCAAACATAAAATTTCCCTTATTCAAATTTCTAATACAAATTTGAATTGCCTTTCTATATTCTAGATAAGTTTTCTGGTAACATACCAAGAGTACATCATCTTATAAAAATTCTCCTTAAGCTAATATAAATTTCAGTCCTTTCAAGTAGATAACTTCCCATTCTTCTATCTGTATATTATAACCAATATTTTAACTCACTTCATCATATATTATTTCATTTATTCCTCTTCTGTTTCAAATTTCAATAAAAAATTATACATTTTGGCAATTACATGTTCATCATTTGTGCACAGTTCTATTCCAGACCCAGACTTAAAATGTTTAAAAGCTTAATTCTTTTATTTACTTTAAATCTTTTTATTAATTTTAAATAAGAAAACCATTGGCAATTATATTCCTCTGCCACTAGTTCTTCTCTTGATTTTATTTTACATTCCCCTTGATTCTAGTATTTAACCATATGTTATCTATTTGTGTGCTTGCCTATTACATCTCATCTGTAAACTGCTTCTTGTGCCAAGTACTACAGAAGTGTTTTCAGGCACAGCCTGAAAAGAGCTGGGTTGGTTTTTATTCCATATTCTCAACAGAATAGAGCTAACATAATAATTTTTAAAATCCAGATTAATCTTGTTATTTGCCATACCACAAATACTCATGCTGCTCAAACCTTAGGACGTAGTCTAACTACAAATGCCATTTGTTTCTCAGGATCCCGTTTTCATCCAAAAGAAACACCAAGCTGCAAAATACAGTTTCAAGTCAGATAAACTCAATTCTCCTCTTTTTTTGCATCTTGTAGCACCTTATATTTAATTTGTGATTTCCCCCCCTTCACACAAACTTCGATAAATGCTTCTGCATTACAGTACTTTTTAATTGTAAAATTCCACTCACAACATGATTTAATTATATATCAAATATATAATTATGTGTTTGTATATTTATAATACACAAATATTTAAATATTAATGTAATTGCATTTGACTTAGACACAATTATATTTACAATCCTTTGGCATGAAAAACCTCAAAATATAGTATAGTACTTTGTGAATGATTACTGTACTGATTTCAACATTAATTCTAGTTAAACAGCCTCAGAATCGCTAAACAGAATTCTAAAAAACAAAGGCCACTGAACTAAGGATTCATTGATAAAAAAACAGTTTTTCAAGAGTTCAAGAGTTATTTTAAAATTATTTTCCACCTGCAAACAGTGATTCTTAAGTGCAGAAAAGAAAAGCAGACTAACCTGAAGTGAGATTGGCAGATGTAAGGTCATAGATGAGGTGGTGGTGAGAAGAATTAATCAATTAACAATGAAAGCCTTGCCTGTCATCAAGAAGACTTATTTTTTTGAGCTAATCTGACAACATAAATGGCCCATGTGATGTTGTATGCACACCTCCTCTTACTTTTCCCTTCCCCATTTCATTCTCTTGAAGTTGACAAGCCTTGAAGGAAGATGATTGAGATGTATATTTCAATGGCTGTATTAAGTTTTAATAGTGTCTGTTTTTAACAACTGATTGCAACATTGTGGAAAGTTTAACAATTGCTTCTTATGATCAAAACGAGCTTCTCCAAGACATCAATTATTTCTGATATTCTCTACCCAAATACTCCCCATATATAAGACTTTGCTCTGAACAGATTTAGATGACACATGTGTTTTAATGGCACATCTAAGGATAGAATTCTTTACAATGGATTTTTGTATCGTAAAGTTCACCAGTCTACATTTGAACTGAAGAACCTAGAAACCATTTTTGTGTAGTTTGTAGGAAATTTAGTTGAATGACAATCAGCTGATAGTACTTGAATTTCAGGACCTTTCCTCTTCTGCAAGCTATTTCTGCTAATGGTTACATTGGGTATATTTGAGTTAGCTATGAATTAATAATACAGGTAAGTATAGGTAAAACATTCTAAATATCACTTTTATAAATTTTTCAAAAATTCCCAGGTTTATTTTTTTTACTTAAAGTATGTAATTTTACTTATCTTGCACAGCTTAGCTTTGGATAGTAAATTTTACTATATTGTACAGAGTTTCAGTAACTTAGTTTCTCTTATCTTTTGGTAAATGCAAGACAGATTAAATAATTTTCAGTATAGTGCCCCCAAGTTAATTTATAGCATTTAATGAAGATTAGTTTCAACATAACCTTAGCTAATTATGAAAAGTTAATTGAAAATTGCTTGGTTTTTAATTATAGATAGTATGGGGAGGGGTGCAGTCTTTTTGTTCTAAAGGAACCAGTGCCATCTGGTGGTTTTAGGTTATGATCTAGCCAAATAGTGTCATGATAAAGATTAATCATTACAACATACTTTTTAGTGTTGGAAGAAATATACAGGATTGCAACTTTATATATAAATAATTTGCAAATTACAAATGGTAAAATCAGTGGGAAGGGAAAGTGCAAATATTTACTTTACACAAAGAGGGGGAGGGTCAATCTATTTTCCAACTCACTAGAGGGTAAGGCAAGAAACAATGGGTAGAAACTGTGGGGCAGAATTCGTTCCTATCTTCAGAGACTGGTTCTGGTATTTGTATCTAGTTGATACTGGGTGTATGATCTGGTTTTGAGGACCTATCTTATCTCCCTGATCTTGTCCAGGGTGGGCTTTAAATTATTGTAATTGGCAACAGAAAGCCTATGTAGACGCATCAAGATTGGAGTGCGGAGTTTTCCAGACAATGAACAAAGGCAATTGAAACAACTAACAATGGTACATGGTTCCAATATCCTGTAGGTCAGCTATATATTAAAACTGTTGGCTTTCAGTTTGAACACAGTTGAATCTGCAGTGTCCTTTGGCCAGCAGGAGTACTAAAAAAAAATCCACTGTGGATGCTCTGATTGGAAAAAAGTGTTAATAGTTAACTTTTGCCATTCTCTTTTCATCACAATATTCTATTATGAGCTGATGTATTTCAAACAAAGAAGTCTGTTTGAGAAGAGCATTGAATTAAAAAAGTAAATAAATCAGTTAGGGTTAATACTGAGAAAGCTGAAAGAACTTAAATGTCAGTAGTGAGAAGTGACTGTCCCTGAAAAGGAAACAGACTTAGAGATCTGATTACAGAACATATCAGACGTGACTGAAATAGCAATTCTGGCTTGGGGTTTTTGTGATATTGAAGGGATTTCCTTTGTTTAAAAGCAATATTGACATTACTTATAAATTACGATGTAGATTTTAGAATACTTTGGGATCTGCCACAATATGCTTGTGAAGTTTGAACTGGCAAATGTCTATGTCAACTACAAGTGTTATTTAGTTGTTTTTTTTTTAAACTGGAGTCTGTTCTGTAGCAGATTATTTTTAGATAGGTATCTAGTTCTGTTGATTTGATTTTTCACTTCTTAATGGGCATTGTAGATTGAGAAATACCTCATATAAAATCTTTAAAATAGCTTGTTATTGCCCTGATATCTGTTTATACATATAGACATTATTATTAATAATAATATACTTACAATACAATAAAATAAATTTTAATTTTAGCTTTTAAAGTTTTTTTTATTGTGAGATGGTGGTGGTAACCAGAAAGAAAGCAGATGGAGAAGATAATACCACATGTTCTTTTTTCTAAAACAATGCATTGAAACAGCAACAATATTCCATTATGTGGCTGCTGTTGCTATTATTTTAGAATGAATAGAGTAATTTAAAAAGTCCTAATACAGTTAAAATTGTAAATCATACATGGAAAGACAATGACTGGTATTTTGTTCATTCTCTGTACATGCTCTTACGAGTTGTCATCTTAAACTTGTGTCCTACCCATCCTATTAGATGTGGCAGGAGAGGAATGTTCAATTGTAAATTGTAGGAGCCAGATAATTGGTAACAGTAGCAAGATCAGATTGATCCTGACTGGGCTGGCTTTCTGGAAAGCACTGAAGACTTAGTAGTTTGGCTGGGCATGGGAACGAGTGATTAGATATTATGTGTTTTTTTTTATTCTTGGCTACTGTCATTTTTGGATTGTATGTTATAAGTTTGTTATAAGATGTATGTATGTATGTATGTATGTATGTATGTATGCATGCATGCATGCATGCATGCATGCATGCTTTTATTTTTATATCTTATCCAACCAGATGTCAACATGGGTTTGTCAAAAAAAAATAATCATGCCAGACAAATGTTATTATAGTCTTTGACAATGTGACAAAGTGGACATGCTGTGGACATAATTTACTTGGACCTCAGTAAAATATTTGATAAAGTAGACCATAGTCCCGGGATGGCAAACCTATGGCACCCGTGCCACAGGTGGCATGTGGAGCCATTTGTCAGGGCGCGCAAGGTGTTGCCCTGTCAGCTGGCCAGCGCGCATGTGCATGATGGCCAGCTGAATTCAACCTTTTTAAAAGGCATTTTTTGACCTCCCCATGCTCCAGAGGCTTTATAGGAGCCTGGGGAGCGCGAAAAGAGCCTCCCTTGCCCCACCGGAGGCCCTCCGGAGGCTTCAACAGCTTCCCTGAAGCCTCTGGAGCGCAAAAAAACCCGGCCCTATGGGCAAACTGGAAGTTCAGGAATTGACTTCCAGTTTGCTCGTAGGGTCGGTTTAAGTCCTCCGGAGGCTTCAGGGACCTTCAGGAGGTTTCCCTTGAAGCCTCCAGATGACTAAAAAGGACCCTATGAGCAAACCGGAAGTGACTTCCGGTTTGCTCGTAGGATCCTTTGTAATCCTCCAGATTCTTCAGGGAAGCCTCCTGAAGGTCCCTGAAGCCTCCAGAGGGCTTAAAACGACCCTACAAGCAAACATGATTATATAGACATATATAAGTTACTTCCGGTTTGCTTGTAGGGTCATTTTTAATCCTCCAGAGCCTTCAGGGACTTTGCTCGTAGGGCTGTTTTTAGTCCTCCAGAGGCTTCAGGGGTGCAACTGAGGTGCATGTAGCACCAACAAAGGCCAGAAGAAAAGGCAAGTATAGGGGTGCTTCTCTCCTGCTCTGGAATATGGAGCAAGTCTCCATCCCCTTCCACCGCCCTTATCTTCTCAGGTGAGGAGTCACTGGGAGGGGAGGGCAAGGGGTGGCGCCAGCCAGTGGTGAGTTCAACAGGAAGCCAAAACAGGAAGAGCTTCATTTATCTGGGAACCTGAAGTGACTCTTGATTTAAATCATATGATAAAAAGCAACCAAAGAAGAAAAAAGAACATCAGCAAAAAAAACCCAACACTCGCTGTTTTTGGAAATGGTTCAAGAAGGAACACACACACACACACACACACGAGACAGAGGGGGGGACAGAGGAGAAAGAGAGAGATGAGAGTGAGAGTGAGGTGTGTGTGTGTGAGAGAGAGATGAGAGAGAGAGAAAGAGAGAGACAGAGAAGGCGAGAGATACCTGTTTCCCAGAGAAAAGAAAATACTTAGAGCCTAGGAATGCGTGACTGGATGAGTCATGTGACTGGGTGGGAGTGAGTGATGTCAAGTTGGCCACACCATGCCACCCCAGTTTTGTGGCTCCCTGTGTTTTCTGTTCTGGGAAACAGGTCCAAATGGCTCTTTGAATGATTAAGGTTGAAGATCTCTGGACTAAGAGATGTCCAAGGTCCCTTTCAATTCAGTTATTAAGTTATTCTATTATTCATCATACTGTGTTCACCACCAAAAGTTGTTTTAGCAAGTGAGGAAGCTGTAAAAATATAACAAATGAATATTTCTATATCTCTGAACAACAGTCCTCATCTGCATAATCCAGTAAACCTGGGGAAATGAATGCCAAATGGTAGATAATTGTTATATTAGAACTGTCCAAATATGTGTAGCTCTTTATATAAAATGAATGTATATTTTGCTTCTGATCTTCAGCGTTCATCTCTTTCTGTCTTTCAGATGATGATGTGGATTTGGAAGCTTTAGTTAACAATATGAATTCCTCATTTGAAAATCTATGTTCCACCTTCTGTGTGCATTCAGAAACTACACCACTTCTTCAGAATGGCAGCCAGGTTTTAGCTTCAGGAACTAGTTCTCTGCATCCAGTGTCTCCAAGACAGAAAATACAGAGGTCTCAACCAGTTCGCATCATGGCAGTCAGGTATATAACCAGTACAATAATTCAGAATGCAATTGTAACAATAAAATTTGGGATCTGATAAGAACTTGGCAGGATGCTGTTATATCTCTGTTTGAGTGGCACTCAACAGTGGCACTGTTGCCACTGGTCATATTTGAATTCTTTAGGGTGCTAGGGTTCATCATATATAAACACACTTGTTTAATACAGCTGTTCCTTGAGCCTATTGGTTACAGTATGCATTTTCCTCTGAAAACTTGTTTTTTTTAATGTTAAGTTTTTAAAATTTCAAGCATTGACAACTTTATTATTTCTTTAAATAAAAATTTATTTTTAAACAAGCATAAACAAACAAAACATATAACATAAAAACAACTTCAATTACATACAGTGTGTCAATTGGTTACAAGGTTTTTGTACGTCCTTTCCATAATCATCAGCTTAAACTTTATTTAAAGTCACGTATCATCAATCAAATATATTTGTATACATTATTATTATAGTACTCCATTTGTTTGATTATCACTATTGTTTCTTCATTTTAAACAAGGCATTCTAAATATAAATTCATTTATATTCTAATAATTCATTATATCATCTTCAATATATCCAATAATAAAGTATTTTTTATATCCTATTCTGTTATTCTATTATTTTAGTATTGGTAACATTCTCTAATAATTTCCAATTCCATGTTTTTCCCTTTATTAATATCATCAATCTAATATATATGTATACAGTTATAATTATTAAACATTAATTGAGTAATAGCTGCTATTAAATTCTTTTTATGTGAAGCATAACTACACTTAAGTAAATTTATATTATGGCGTTTCATTACATCGTCCTAAAATCATCCAATGATATTACAGTATTTTTCGGAGTATAAGACGCACCTGAGTATAAGACACATCTAGATTTTAGAGGAGGAAAACAAGAAAAAAAGTATTCTGAACCAAATGGTGTAGGAATAAATTATTTAATAAAATGCCACTATAGCAGAACTTTTACAACATGTATCCCATTTTACAACCATGTATACTTTTTACAGCAATGTATACTTTTTACAGCAATGTATACTTTTTACAATTCTGTAAAGCCAACAGCAGTATTAAGAACCATCATCACTGTCATTAACAAAAGAGGAGAGACTTGAAGGTTCAAGCACTCCTCTAATTTTCTGGAAACCCCAAGAACTCATCATTGCCACTGATGTCAGAATTAGGAAGCTCAATTGCTCACAATCACTTTCTCTTCGCTACCTTCATAAATGATATCATCTTCAGTTCCATCTAAGGCATTGCTAATGCCACATTTTTGAAGGATTGAGTAACAGTTTCATCCTTCAGTGAGTTCCATGAGGTTTTCATCCATTCACAGACTTGAGTGATAGTGGGCCTCCTCCTTAATCCAGAGGGTGTCAGAGCATGATTACCAGCAGCCATCCATTTGTTCCACTCTTCTTGCATGTAAACTTTGAATGGCTTGTTGATGGAAACATTAAGAGGTTGTAACTAGCTGGTAAGACCTCCAGGAAATGTAGCTAGATTGGTCTTCACTTTTTTGAATCTTTTCTTAGTGTTGTCAGTAATATGTGCTCTAAACTGATCAAGCACTAATAAAACTGTTTTTTTCAGAAGCCCTCCAGGAACTTTGGACCACACTTTTTCAATCCATACTTTCATACCATGCTCATCCATCCATCCTTTTTCATGGACATGCACAACAACACCTCCTGGAATTACTTCTTTTGGGAAGGTTTTCCTTTTAAATATTAACATTGGTGCCAATTTGGTGCCATCTGCACAGCAGGACAACACAACTGTGTAATGGGTCTTCTCATGTCCTGTATTTTTTACAGTTATGCTTTTGTCATCTTTGATATCAACAGTCCTGTTTGATAGCACATCAAAAGTTAGCGGGACTTCATCCATATTTCCGTTCTGGCCAATCTCAAAGTTATTTCTCCTCCTGGAATCTATCACAAAAGTATGAAAAGACCTTAGGCTCATACTCTTTTGGCATTCTTTGCGCAATTCTAGTTTTGGTGCACATAGCAAGGCCACATCGCCTCCTAAATCTGAAGCACCACGATGGTGTTCCACTAAAATTATGAATGCCTTTCTGTATAGCAATATGTTTGGCTTCATACATCACTGTTTTTGTGGTGAGTGCAAAGCCTCTGTTCCAGTGACCTGTGATCCAGTCTCTCATTTCCTCCTCTAACTGGCCACTTTGCAGGAAGCCCACAAAAGTTGTGCTTACTTTTATTTTTTACCTTTTGCAGTTTATTCACCTGTTTCTTCCACTCTCTTATCATCTTTTCAGTTGTAAGTGGTCCAAAATGCTTCTCTGCTGCTCTATTTCCATGTTCCTCAGCATATTTCAAGACTTCCAACTTGAAAGAGATTGTATATGCCTGCCTTTTTGGTTTTGGCATTTTTCTGCAAGAAAGAACAATAATGTGTCATTTATAACAATACAGTGCACTGTAGCTGAAACCACATTCACACACATACATTAGATCATTACACCTTCCCCCTAAATAATATGCCTTAGCCTTAACCCTAACCCCAACCTGCAAACAGGCAATAAGCCTTAAACCTTAACACAATAAGCCAAACCCATTGCAAAAGTGCTGACAGCTTTAAGACCTGTGGACTTCAACTCCCAGAATTCCTCCTCCAGTTATGTTACCTTAGGTTTTCTGGAACTTACTGGTAAAGTCCACAGGTCTTACAGCTGCCACGTTTGAAGACTCTTGCCATCCCTAACCAGTGCTTACCTATGTGGTGTCTCAGGAGCCAGTAGTAGGCTTCTCCAGGCAGCGTTGTCTGGGACGTCGGCCAGGAAGCAGGTGAGGCAGGCGGCTTATCCAGGCAGTGGTGGGGCTGTGGCTTTAAATTTTGCCTGGGAGCAGGTCAGGCTCCTTGGGCAGTAGCAAGGCAGTGGCAGTGGCGGCTGTGGCTTTAAATTTTGTCTGGGAGCAGATCAGGCTCCTCGGGCAGCAGTGAGATGGTGGCGGTGGTGGCTTTAAATTTTGCCCGGGAGCAGGTCAGGCTCCTCGGGCAGCAGAGAGGTGACAGCGGGGCTCCTGGGGCAGCAGAAAGGTGGTGGCAGCAGCAGCAGTGGCTTTAAATTTTGCCTGGGAGCAGTCAGGCTCCTTGGGCAGCAGCGAGGCGGCAGTGGTACGGTAGCAGTGGCTTTTGCCCAGGAGCAGCGGGGCAACTCGTGTGGTAGATCAAATTCCTTTGTGGCAGGGGTCTCCACTAACAGCTCAACTAGAGGTTCGCTTCAATTTATAGAAATTGGTTCGCTAGAAAGTTTGAATTTTACACTTCTGATTGGTGGTTGGATTAGCTTTCCAGAATGCTGCCAATCAGCTGCCACGTTTGAACACCCTTGCCACCCCAAACCAGTGCTTACCCATGTGGTGTCTCAGGAGCAGGTAACAGGCTTCTCTAGGCAGCGTTGTCTGGGGTGTTGGCCAGGAAGCAGGTGAGGCAGGCGGTTTATCCAGGCAGCGATGGGGCAGTGGCTTTGAGTTTGCCCAGGAGCAGGTCAGGCTCCTCGGGCAGTAGACAGGCACTCCCTCCATTTTTTGCATGCTTTTTTTGCCCTCCCCAGGCTTCAGAGGCTTTATAGGAGCCTGGAGATGGCGAAAACAGACCCCCCTGGAAGTCCTCTGGAGGTTTCAGGGACCTTCAGGAGGCCTTCAGCCCTACGAGCAAACTCCCTGAAGACTCCAGAGGACTAAAACTGACCCTGTGAAGTCACTTCTGGTTTGTTCATAGGGTCATTTTTAATCCTCTGGAGCCTTCAGGGAAGCCTCCTGAAGCTCCCTGAACCTCCGGAGGGCTTAAACCGACCCTACGAGCAAACCGGAAGTCCGTTCCCGAACTTCCGGTTTGCCCATAGGGCTGTTTTTTTGCACTCCGGAGGCTTCAGGGAAGCTACTGAAACCTCCAGAGGGCCTCAGGTGGGGCGGGGGAGGCTGTTTTCACCCTCCCCAGGCTCCTATAAAGCCTCTGGAGCCTGGGGAGGGCGAAAAATGGCTTTAAAAAAGGCTGAACTCAGCTGGCCAGTGCGCACATGTGTGCTGGCCAGCTGACAGGGCAACGCTTCGTGTGCCCTAACAAATGGCTCTGTGTGCCACCCATGGCACGTGTGCCATAAGTTCACCATCCCAGGCATAGATTATCTCAGTTTCCAGAACAATTCTAGGTTCTTTTCTTATATAACAGCTCTTTTCTTAAAATAACTATTTGCCCCAGCATTCTATTTAGAAATGATAAAATATATTGGTAGGAAATAAATCTCATAGAACTCAAACCAGAGGTGGGTTTCTACCAGTTCGCATAGGTTCAGTGGTACCGGTATAGAAATGGTGACTGGGTTGCCAAACTGGTAGGGACAACTTGCTCGCTACACCCCTGAACCGGTTCCCCGGTCGCTGTGACACCTTTTTTTTACCTTTTTAAATGTTCTGCACATGTGCAGATCTATTCACAAGGAACTGTGCACGTGCGCAGAACATGTGTCAGATACATGAGCGAAGCAGGAGTGCATGTGCAAAATCATGCCCACACCGAACCGTCAGGAATGCCAGGAAAAATCCATCCCTGACTCAGATGGCTTTGTTTCTAAAGAAATGTTAATATTGCAGCATTTCAGATGTAGAGAATTTTTAAAAATTAATATCCGTTGTATCAGATTAGAAATAGATTTGGGTCTAAGTAAATTAAATTCAAGGGCAAAACATAGGTAATTTAACAATAAAAGAATAGTATAGTTCAAAATACCTTAGTTATGAGCAAAGTTAAAATAATAAGTAGAATATGAAGGGGAAAAATAGCTATTCTGATGCTGATGAAAAACCTTTAAAAGCACAAGTTTAAATAACTTTATTCTGTGAGAGGCTAAATCACTATTTATAAATTTCTAGAAATTGCTATTTTTTCTAAATGCTTAGAAATCATGAAAAGATATTTTTTTATATTTCTTCCAAAATTGTATATCCATAGCTTAAATACAGTTATTGAATTAGCTGTCATTACGATGCTGCTAAACAGAATTAGCAAGACATTAGAAAATACGCTGGACCTAATTAGATATTTAAAAATAAGAATTAAAATATGTGTCTGTTGTTTCTAGATCACAAATGGATTTCTTTTGCATTGGTAAACTTTACCATGTTTATTTGAATTTTTATTTTATTTTATTCAGAAAGTTAAGAGTAAATATAGTACAGAAAAGAGAAATTTTACAAGAACAAAAGAAAATTAGACAAAACATTAAAAATGAAAAAAATGTGTATTAAAAAAAACAAAAGGCAGAAATGTATACATATATTACCTCCCTTGTTGAATACTGATAAATATTTTGCAACAATATTTCTCATCCCCCACCCCTGCTGTTGAGAAGCAGGCCCCAAATAAGTATAAACTTCTACATCTATTTGCAACCAATTTGACCTGTCATCTATCTACTATACATGAAACCAAAGTAGTTAACAGAGGATTCAAAAGCAAAGTTGAACTTCAAAGCCCTCTGTTAACAATCTATTATTGTATTTAACATGGAAAGTTTACTGCAGCTTCTTATCTATCACAAATGATCATTATCATTATCTTTATCTCTGATAAATATCCTCATTTGATCTTAATAATAAAACTTTTTCCTTAAAATTTTGGTTGAAAACTTTCCCAGAATCATAAACTTCTGTGAAGATGGTCAATCCATCTTCCCCAAAAAATCCAATCCGAATTGTTTTTGAGATAGATACAGTAAGTCCATTCCCCAATTGCCATCAATCTTCTTAAGAAAATGTGTTTCATCCCTCATCAATTCCGTTAATCTGTAGACTTCATCTCCCTTTCAGCCTTGCTCAACAACCAGCAGTTTCTAAACTAAGTTCCTTCTCCTTTAAATCTGCCAATAGCAGTTTCCAGATTCCAATCCAACCAATTGTGAGTTTTATTTGACCATAATTCCTAGTGTGTGGATATCCTCTTTAGGTTGATTTAAAATCATTGTTATTTTATCTAACTTTTTACCAAAGTTTCCTATTTGAACTTGTAAGTTAAAAAGTATTTTTTGAAGGCTTCGCAGAGGGCTCTACCCTTAAACTAATGCCTTGTTTGCATTACCTGAGCATTCACCAGACATAAATAGTTCCTTTCAAGTAAAGGGGAGTCAAATAAAGTTGCTACAGACAATGTTGAGATAATATTTCCCACAATAAAGTAGGCTGAAAAAAAAAATTCCGTCAAAAACTTCCACTCAGCAAAGAATCTTGGAAAATGGCCCCATAACCATGGTTTTTATTTTGTCTCACTTTAAACCCAAACCCACTGCTGAGGTGGTGCAGTGGTTAGAGTGCAGTACTGCAAGCTACTTCAGCTGACTGCTAGCTGCAGTTCAGTAGTTCAAATCTCACCAGTTCAAGGTTGACTCAGCCTTCCATCCTTCCGAGGTGGGTAAAATGAGGACCCAGATTGTTGGGGGAAATATGCTGATTCTGTAAACTGCTTAGAGAGAGCTGTAAAAGCACTATGAAGCTATATATAAGTGCTATTGCTACTACTATTAACTAATACTAACTATCCTAATCAAGTTCTATTTGAAAATATCTGTATGTTTTATATCTGTATGTTTAAAGTCCTTTTAAAGTCCTTTGTTTTAAATATACTTTATATTTTGTATTTTTTAGCTTTTTATCATTACACTGATGTACAGGTAGTCCTTGACTACAATTGAACCCAAAATTTCTGTTGCTACAGGAGACAGTTGTTAAGTGAATTTTGCCCCAATGTATGACATTTTAAGTGAATCACTGCAGTTGTTAAGTTAATAACACATGTTATGCGTATCAACTCCCCCATTGACTTTGCTTGTTGGAAGGTCACAAAATTTGTTCGCATAACTCTGGGATACTTCAATTGGCATAAATATGAGTCAGTTACCAAGCATCTGAATTGTGATCACGTGACCATGGGGATGTTGCCATGGTTATAAGTGTGAAAAATTATTGTTTTTTCAGGACTCTTGTGACTTCGAATAGTCACTAAATCAACTGTTGTAAATTGAGGACTACCTGTATTTTAATGCTTTTAAAATTGATTGTATCTCACTCTCCTTATGTTGGACTTTGGTTATAATAAAGATTTGATTTGACTATAGACGTCTGCAGGAGGAAGAGCAACAATTCAGAACATCCTCTTTGCCTGCCATTCCAAATCCTTTCCCTGAACTTTGCAGCCCCACAAATTCACCTGTGTTGGCACCGGGATCTCTACCTCAGAGTCAACCTATGAATAAACAAGTGAGTGAGACTTCCTTTGTGTTTTTGAAAGTGGTTGGTTTTAATATGGTTATTTTGCAAAATTTCTTGAGATCACTGATCACAAGGAAGAATCATGATACTCTGTAGTTGATCAAAGGGTGTCTTATTTTTAGCTTAAGTATCTTAGTATATCTGCATGCATTATAATTGCTATTGCTCAGGATTATGAAGTAAAGAAGTTATTGCTTCTGAATTGGTTTTATATTCATAATTAATTACCAAAATCAGAGTGTAATCAGAACTGGACTTTTCAGTCCAGTGCTTTCAATTTTAATGGGCAGTAGCACTCAAATGCCTAATAAAGAACTATAGTTACAAAATTTGATTATTTTATTTTATTTTTATTGATTATTACTCTTGTAAGTAAGTAATATTAAAACAGGAGTTATGAAAGCTTTTGCCTCCCCCAAATCCCTGTCTCCGGTTGGATTTGTACCAATGGAATAGCGATTTTGTTAAAAATATTTTTCTCTCTTGCTGTGATCATTGAAGAGCTATATATTTAGGCTAGCACTTGAAAGTAGCATGAATATTTGTCTTGCTTTTAGCATATGACAGTGGGATAGTTGCAACCCAGTTCCTTATGAGAATTCTCCTCCATCTATTGATAGAAAAAATGTTTTGGTGGCTTTAAAAATGCACCCTTGGAATATTTCATAACATTCTGATTTTCTACTAGATTGGATAAACATAGCACCATTATAGGCAATTATCTTAATGTTGTTAAAGTTCCCAAGATTGAGAAAGACTGCCATAAAATGTATACATTTCTGACAAATAAGTCTTTGCAATCTCCCACTTCACTGTGGGCCATTTATTGTCAACTGGCTCTCCGCTGGTGTTTTTCCTCTGCTACTGGTCGCTCACCACTGGTCCCCCACACCCTCATCCTGGCCAATTTTCAAAGAGACACTTGTCCCAGGACAATAGGCTGCATAGAATAAATAGCTACATACTAGCTGCACCTCATGGTATCTGCCATTGCCACCTATTGAGTTCCTACTTGATTCTGCTCTGCACCCAGATCTGAGATGCTCCAACATTTCGAGGAGGGGCGTGGTGCAGGCAAGGCATAATAAGTGGCAGTGGTTGTTGCCTCCTGAAAAACATGGTCAACCTTATGTTCTACCAACCCAGCACAGATGATTTTAAGGGCACCAGCATCACAGCCAGCTTCCAGTCTGGCTAGCTTCAAGCAAGAACTTGACCTTGCTTACTGAGCTAGATCCCAATTTGTCAAACTGATGGGTTTGGTGGCCTTGTGACAATGCTTCTGGGTTTGATGTTTTTCTGATCTTTTGTTGATGAAATACGCATCACACATCTTTTTCTAAGTCACCAGAGATGTGGGAGCCAAAAGAGATGGAGATAGATGTAGGAGATTTAGCTATCATTGATGTGAATGGGGAGGGTAGTGATTTTTGACAGTGATCTCTCAAACCTAGATAACACATTCGTCTGCCATTTGCTGATTCTATTCAGAAAGGAAAGGAGGCCTCCTGTAGCCAATGATATTCTTCAGGCTTTTCCATTCATTTGCTGGCCTCCCAGTTGTCTAAATGTCTATACCTACAGAGCATTTATTAATAGCTCCAATTCAGTTTTGAGAGAAGTGCTGAGTGGAGTACCGCACTATAAACTGGTTCTAGTGCTGTTCAACAATGATTCAGAAATTGGATGAAGTAATTGAAGAGTGGCTTTTAAGAGGTGACATAAAACTAGAATGAGTTGCTTTAGTTGAAAGATATTTTTTTTAGAAACAAAGTAACAGAAAACTCTAGATAGACTCACGTCTCTTTTGGGAATCATAGTTCAAAACAGTTTGCTAAATGGTTTATGACACAAATTTAGGGAACTATCAAGAAAAAGGAACTGAAACCAAACCACATGAAAAACGGTTACAAGATATGTTTAGCCTACAGCAACACAGTTGAAAAGAATTATTTTAAGAGTTTTCAAATATCTAAATATTTGTCATACAGACAGACTTACTCCCATCATCAGAATTTAAAAGTTAAAATTACAAGAAAAGAAGGCTAGCTGTTACAAAGAACATCTTATCTGTATTAGCTGTCAGACAGACAAGTTGCCACATGAACCTGTGAGTTCTCCTTTACTTCAAGAGGCTAGGTAGTCATCTGTTTGATGACTTCTGTATTAAGTAGGGGTGGACTATATTAACCAGTTTCTTCCAATGTTATGATTATATGAAAACTAATACATACACACTGAAATGCAGAAATATTTAAATCAATTAAGTTAAATTCCTGTATGTAAAATTGTAAGATTATAATTTGAACATAAGGATTATTGTAATTAAAAAAAAAGATTTAATGTTTGGTTTGAGTCCAATTTACGTATTATATGATGTAGTATAAATATTCTCTCTCTCTTCCTCTCTTAACAATAAATGTAGATAAAAATAGTATTTCTTTAAAAAACACAACCCTGAGACAAAATTAATTTTAAAGACTGATCTCCTGATATAGCTGAATGTATTAAAAATAGTCACATTAATTGGGCATTTTTTAATCAGCTTTGAAGATTACCAACTAAGTTAGTACTGTATTTGGAGTACAGTATTTTGTATTTGGAGTTGTCAGTTATATGTATATATCCTTAACCAGGTTTTCTGTAAAAGCTTTTGATAGAACTCTTGCTTTCTATTAAAAAGAAAAAACAATTTTAGATCACAATTTCTTAATGTAGACAGTATTTATTAGCTTGATAGGAAATTTAGTTCCTTGTAGTTTCACATTATGAAGAATATTAAAATCGAGTGCAATATAGATGTAAGATAGAAAAACAGATACCAAAAAATCCCACAAATCAACAAGAAAAAAGCCAACTAAAATTAAATATAAATGGGAGGGAGAAAATTCTGTACTTTCAATAATAAAATTTAATTTATCCCTGTATTCTCAGATAACATTTTTTATTTAATTTAGGTAAAAAAATTGAAGGAAGAAAAAAATGAATTGATATATCTGCAGTGACCAAGTGATTTGTAGTACCGAGAATAATTTCAAGATGCAAATAATTATACAGTGACAGGCAAGACTAGAATTGGCCAGAATGGAACCAAAACAATCAAACAGTTCAGCATAATTGAATTTAGGAAAGCAATGCACAAAAATAAAGTTTATCTTTGCCTTCATTTAAAGACAAATGTGACTAAAATATTACAAATAAAATATGTAAATTTTTACTCCCTAATCAGCTTCACTATATAGAAACACTTTATACTTCTGCCACCTTAATTTTTTACTATGCTTTGAAACTAATTTGATGTGAAAATGATCTTCATTCTATATAATCACATCTTCGTTATATATGTGCCACGTTAGTTTTCCTTATCTTTCATTTACAGTGAATGGCTGAGGGCTTTTGATAGGATTGCTTTAATGTGAATTCCTCTAATCTTTAAGTGGATAAAAAATATCTGAGAATAATCTGTACAGCTCTGATGATCCAATTCTAATCTGCTTTAGTAAGAAGAGTTGTGAGTGGCCCTATCCTCATAGGGTTATAGCATTTGGCAATTCAATGGTAATGATTGGTAGATTCTCCTGCTTTTTTCCCTTCTGCCCAGCAGAGTTACTGATGGGAAAAGTACCACCAATCCAGTGGTGGATTGTAGGCAGTACATCCGGATACAGGTGTACCGGAGCCAGCCTGGAGCACTGGTTACCATTCCGGTACGGTGCTCCGGAAGGCCTACCTGGCCCGCCCGAGCGTCTTGCCTGTGTTTTAAAGCTTCTGAGCTGCCGTGCACGTGCATGGCACGTATAGCGCCTGTGTGATGGTCCGTGGAGAATCTGGAGCGTCACGGAGGCACTAAGATGCATGTTTGCGCTGCGTGCATCCATGACGCTGCCCTCTGCCCCAAATAACCCAGATACCAAATTGGAGGGAGGGAGGAGCAGAATGGGGTGAAGCAGGAGGCAGCTCATATGGTGTATTGAAAGAGCTCCTTACTTCATCCTGTTCCAATGGTCTGTGATGCATTCCATTGATCCTTCTGCTGGATTTGAGGTTCTAGAAGATTTATTGGCCTTCCTCTCACTAGGACCAGAAGATGAAACTAGCAGAACCTTTGTCAATTTTATCACCTTCCAAATATTTCAGTAATCACTCCCATCATGAAATAAATGCAGCATGCAGAACTATCTTGTGGATAATGCAAAATGGCATTGCCTGTTTCCTAAAGAAATAAAATATTGGAAAGCATAGCCATGACTTGTTAGCAGGAACCTCACAAAACTATCATCAGTGCACTTACACAGGACAGAATCCTGTATGACTAATACATTCATAGTTTAAATTGATCAGGAGCCTTTTTAAAAAAAGACCTACCAATGCAAAGATTGGCATACTAAAAGTGAAATTGTAGTCATTAATTAACTAACAAGAGGCCTAGTGGTGCAATGGTTAGAATGCAGTAGTACAGACTAATTCTGCCCACAGTTTAGAATTTAATTCTTGACAAGTTCAAAATTCAAAGATTCAATCTTCCATCCTTCTGAGGTAGATAAAATGAGGACCCAGATTGTTGGGGCAATATGCTGAGGTTGTAAATTGCCCATTGTAAAGCACTGCAATGTGGTATATAGGTGTTATTGCTATTGCTAATCATGACTGTAATTTCTGTGTAGCTTGGAAGGTATGTGGTTTTCAATTTTTCCCTATATAACTAAGAAACAGTGATTATCCCAAAGTTCCCCAGCCTTTGTGTTTAAGGGTGAGGGGGACTATATCTTGTGTCTTGCTACTCTGAGTTCAGCATCACAACCATTTTGCAGCGGACCTCAATGTGTTTGTTTGTGAAATTATATTTGTGCTGTCTGAGTCACCAAAGAAAAACATAAGATGTTTTCAATGGACTAATAGTTGGTAATGTCATAGAAATAACTAGTAGAAGGGAAATAGAAATATTGTAGATGAAGAAAGGTAAATATACAGTATAACTGAAAAATAGT